TTATTTATATATATATATATATATTCCAAGCGAGAGGGAATTGTGTTGTGGCTCGGTACAGAATTAACAACGAATCAGGCCGGAAAAAAGGTTCCATAAATGTGCGCGCGCGCATGGGTATGTGTTAATATTTGAGAAACGATGTTACACAGTGACATGTATCATGTGATATTACTATGCTATGCATCACCCCTACGATCGACGGTCGTACGGATGAAAGCATCAGGTCAAAGTATTCTCCTCTTTGCGATTTCTTTATTGTCAACTGTTGTAGTTACACCTGCTTCACACTTTCTCTCCTTTTCTCTCTCTTTTTTTCTTGCTTTCAGTGTCTCTCTTATGCAGAGATCGCGTAATCATACAGAGAGATCACACATTCTCGCGATATGCAATTAATTTCGACTTGTCAAGTCGTACGGCCGTCGATACGCCGACGTTTCCGTCATTTTCTTTGATCGTCCTCCGTTTCTCTTCGTTTCACGATTAATATATTCGATCGTATGCACACGTAAGATTTAGCATATAAAAAAGGAAAGAAATAGAAGAAATATCGATAGATCAAAAGATCTAATACTTTTAGTATGAATCTTTTGAACTGTCTTGCGACACTTACGTGGACATTTGTTGGCTGCTATTCGCATGTTTCTCTGTCTGTGTAGACACGTGTTCATTTGTGTTAATTTACTAGATTTATTTTCGGTGCAATACTTATGTCTCACGATGCATATGTATTGTATATGTTAAGCGGGTACATTTGTCGTACATTTATAAAACGCGATTTTTTTTGGCTGAGCGTGCGGACGTTCGTACGACAGAGTGAAGCAATGAAATTTATGTAATCTCATAATTAAAGAGATTAATTAACAACTCGAGATAGATTTGTCTTGTTTATCATAATTCTTATTTATTAAAATTTTTCTTTATTTTTCAAAATTTTATTTTCGAATCGCTGAATTTAGTAGGCAAATTATGATTGTATCTGTAAGCTGTTTATAAGAAATTATAAGTAAATTAGTTACGTCATGTTTTGATTCGATTAAAAACCTGTAATTTTTATTTTACTAATAAAATGTGCTTCCCTTGACAATGATTATGACAATTATCTGAGGAAAATGAATTCTGAATGATAGAGAAAGTTTAATAACTTGTTTATGAAGAAAGCTTGATAATTATGAAGAAAGAGTGCTAGAGAGACAGATTAATTTTAAATTCATTCGGAAAATATAGGAGAAGTTAGAAAGTAATTAGTAATACGTTATGTGTGTTTTATAACATCTTGATTATCTTTCCATCGTTTTGAACTGTCGGAAAACCGACAACTTCCGTATAGTTTTCATGGCGGAACACACTGTACGCAAACGTCCGCCGCTTCACGAATCAATAATAAATAATTCCCTCGAATAAACTCAGTCAATTACAATGTCAATCGAGAAAATAATTTATTAACAAAATTTCGAAGAGAAATTAAATAATCTGTTGATCGAACATTTATTGCATACATCGATGAAACGGGGAAAAAGGGATAGATTTACACCTAACGGAATTGACTGTTATTTCGTTACAGTAATGACAGATAATCGATTTAAATAACAATATTGGGACGATCTCGTTCATTTTGTTGTGAGAATATCTTACTATTCACGCCCGAACGATCCAATATGCCCTCCTATTCCTGCTCCTCTTTCTTTTCGCCTGTTTTCTTTATGACATTTT